TGATCATTCACATGAACTTATAGGCCCATTGTCTGCCAACCCTATATATGATCCTGGATACACTCTCCTAATTGTAGACATACCTAATTGTTTAGCTTGTTCACCTATCTATCCGTCCCTATACCCATGTTTGCTTTCACTGACAACTCAGTACTGTATATGCAAAAGAGTTCATATTTGTTTTCTGTACTGCCCATGTAACTCTCTATGTCTTTCTCATCCTCAATGCTGCCATATTACATTGCCCTTCTCTTTACCCAAATCGATACTTATCTCTACCTATCTAACAGTGTTACCTCCTCTCCCCTCCCACCCCTGGTAGCCAGCAAAGAAAAATTCCTTCCATATGTAAACCTTTCCTTGAGTTTTTACAATAATGGACTAATACAATATTTGTCCTTCTGTGATTGACTTATTTCATTCAGTATAATGTCCTCCAAGTTCATCCACGTTATGCGGTCCTATAGATACTACATAATTCTTTAGTATTGCATAGTATTCCATTGTGTGTATGTACCATAGTTTGCTTATCCATTCTTCTGTTAATGGGCACATAGGTTGTTTTGATTTACAGTTTTCTTTTCAAGTTTAGAATAGTCTGTTCTAACAATCTGAAAATTGCCTTGACTACCTCACCATTTGGAATTTCTGTACCTACACTATTTATTCCCTCTTTTTGGTTTGTAGCTGTCCTCATTTACCAGTTGATGTCTCTGGTTTCCTACTTACAACCTTATAAGCTTATTTTATTTTGGATACTTCCAAAACTGTTGGTTTCTGGGTCATGTTGTCAGGTATATTAATCATTGGTTGTTGGTCTGCTCTTGTTGGTTCTCTATCTGAAGGACTCCCTTTAGCATCTCTTGTAAGGTTGATCTAATTTTAACAAATTCTCTCAATTTCCAGTGTCTGTTTCATGTTTATATCACATATTTGTTTGGACTAGCCACACTGCAGGTGATCAGTAGCCTTATGTAAGTTGTAGCTACTATATTCAACAGCACAGGTGTCTAGCTTTATAGATTGGCACTTAATAATTTCTGCCTCTAGCACTTTGACCATTCTGAATCTTGTTCTTGTGCAAGTTGTTTGAATGAAATAATTTAGTATCTTAAAAATACTGTTGGTTAAATGTTTTACATTTATTTGCTGGTTTTATAGTTGTTTTGTACATGACCTATTTGGCTGGGAAATGGAAAGAAAATTCCTCTATGAGCATGGTGCTCAAGATCTTCCATTAAGGTTTTTAACTATACATGAAACTACACTAAGTACCATACAGTGCAAGTTAAACAGTAGTCTGCCTTCCAGGACAGAGTCATTGGCTCATTGGAGAGGCATCAATCCTTTGACCCGTGGTCCATCTTCCTATTTCTGTATCCTGATTTTATGTCAATAAGAACTATTCCCTGTGGCTGGTTATTTCAGTTATTCTTTTACTGTAGAAATAATTAACATTTGTTTCTCTTTTTTTCTGTGCTAGTAGTAAGATTTTTAGAAGCTGCAGTATAGTAAATTACTTAGTGTGGCTTTTCTACCCATAAGTCTTTGTAAACTCCAAGGTGGGATTTGCTATGAGCAACTGAGAAGCTCCTGATTGCTAAAGTTGTCCACCTGGAGTATTTCTGTTGGGAGTGACACAAAACAGTGTTCTTGGAGGTTCTCACTCTCTCTCAGGTGCTTAGCGTTCTGATGCTGTGATTGGCTAGTTTGGCCACTCTGCCAGGTTCAAAAGGAGGCCTCCTAGAGGCAGAAGTCATCTCTCTCTGACTGCTGGTTGAGGAAAACATGCTGCTGAAAGAGACACGTGCTCTTGAAAGAGACACGTGCTGCTTGGAAAGAGATTCAAGAGACACGCATTGCTGAGTGAGACACGGAGGGACACTCGCTGTTGGGAGAGAGACTGTGAGAGACTGTGGGCTGGGAGAGAGACAGCATTTTTCCTGAACTTGAATTGTAGCCTGTGCTTCCCTAATAAACCCTGTAATCTGTGAGTTTTGTGTGGCCACTGCAGTAAATTATTGGACCCAGGAGAGAGGTGGTGGGTACTTTGGGAGGAACGGTTGGTGAAAGGGCTGGAGGGAGAGGCAGCATGTCTGGCCTTGCAGGAATAGGCCTTGGGCTGTTGATAGTGATCCTGTCTTCCTCTTGTGGGGTTAGAGGAGGTCAGGAGATGTGGCCTCCATGCCCTTTTAGCAGAAGCATTTAAAATTTATTATGTACTTTAATAAGGCTAATTGCTAAATTCCCATAAAATTATAGTTAGCCTGTATTTAAAAAATGCAGCCTTTTTTTTTTTTTTTTTTTAAATCCTCTAGGTTCAACCCTTCTACACTCAGCTAATGGTGCTATTTTGTGAATGGAACTATAAATTTCTTTTCTATGGCTTTTTAGAAGAATGGTGTAAATCATGAAATGACTAGAACTTGGGAAAGATATAAACTCCTTTCTTATTTGTTAACATTCAGATCCTCATTTTTCTGAATGTGTAACTTTAAAAACAAATTAATAAATTCTACTAAAATGGAATCAGGATTCCAGGTCTGGGGTAAGAAATGTGCAAAATCAGGTTGGATAGAGTATCTGACCACACCATAAAGCAAGGAAGCTATTGAAAATAAAGTAGCACATGATACGGACTTTAGAGCCAACTGAATAAGTTCCCACTCGTCAGTGATGGAAGAATATGAGCATTAATAAGCATTATAACTATAGTGCTTGAACTACAGTGGATTGTTATGAAGAATTATTGTTAATTTATTGGTTTGATAATGGTATTGTGATTTTGAAAAATGATTCCTAAGCATCTACACTGAAGTAGATGAAATGATGTGATTGCAAAGATTTGTTTAAAAATTGATCCGGAGCAGCTGGATGGGATGCAGTGGGGAGACAGTGGATTGGGGATATAGATAAGACTGGGCATGGATTGATACTGGTGGCAGCTGGATGATGGGTATATGGAGTTCATTATACTTTTCTTTCTAAACTTTTGTTTGATTTTTTATAATAGATTTTTAAAAAATCTAATTTTGGAGACCTTGGGACCAATACTACAATTTCTCTAGTGATTACATTTCATAGTAATTATCCCTATTGGGATATTTGTCCTTGCATCAGAATTACTCTGTAAAATAACTCTTATATCAAACAGCTTGACACCAGCATCTATTCACTTTCCTTCTCTCTTTTTTTCTCTTTCTGCAGCTCTCTCTTTCCAGATGTAGTGAACTGTATGCAGACTGACAACCTGGAACTGAAGAAACTTGTGTATCTTTACTTGATGAACTATGCTAAGAGTCAGCCAGACATGGCCATCATGGCTGTCAACAGCTTTGTGAAGGTAACTTCTCAAGAGCTCCACAGCACTCTATTCTACCTCAGATAACATTTCAGAAATGTTTCCTGGCGTAGTTAGTTTTTGCATTGCAAACAATCAACCTCTCTTCTAAAAGAGGGCCTCTGGGAAATACTGGCAATGACTAAGTATGTTCATATTAAGCATTCTGTAGGCCAGTATGTCATCCAGGGAAATTCAAACCATATGGTGAGCCTTCTGTTAGCTGGCCTTGGTGCATCCTTGCCAGATGGGTAGGAGAGTGGCAGGTGAAGCCTAACCATTTTATCTTCCTAGGCTGACAAAGGTGTTGAGCATGTCGTTGTGGTATCAGTAACCTTGGACTTTACATTAATGCTTTGAACAAATGTCGCCTCTTGAGTAATTACTCACTTTTTACAAAAACAGTTTTTTTCTCCTTTTAAAAGCATCTAGTAATTTCCTTTTAAGGATAATATTGGAGCAAGTAGACTAGTGTATTTTGTAGTGTTGATAACTGTTCTTTACTGTAACTTCTTGAAGCTGATCCTGCTTTCTCACAAGAAGTATTTTTCTCTAAATATTTTATCTCTGTAGAAATTATATGTAAGGGTCAGAAGTGGTGAGAACTGCAGGACCTGCTACTTCCATTTTATTTCATTTAATAGATTTTACAGTATTTGATTGCAATTTATTTTTATTATGGAAAATTTTAAACATATCCAAGTAGGATATATCATATCTCTGAATGTCCATCTTGTATTTTCAACAGTTACTGACACATGACCACACTTGCTTAATTACACCCCCCATACATGCTTTCTTGACTCCAGTCCTCCTATTGGATAATCATTAAGCAAATCCCAAACATTGTATCATTTCATCTGTAAATTTGTCAGAGTAAGATCTCTTTTTTAAACATAACCGCAATATCATTGTCACATCTTAAAAAACTCAACAGTAACTCCTTAATATTATTGAATATCCAGTGAGATTTTTTCTATTATTAGATTTAATGAGCATACTGAATTGTTTCCATTAATAAGTTTTTTTTCACTTGTTTTTTTCTTTGCTTGGAACTTAGTCTGCATTTAAAAGTTAAAAAAACAAAAAACAAAAAAAACACCATTTCTAAAATTATTTCTATTAAGTTGTTTTGAAAAATAACCGGTATGCTTTTGTCCTTCTCATGGAATTATTTTTTCTTTTCCAGTGTTTAGCTACTTTGTATAGAACCAGACAGAACATAAAATTTCATCCTTCTTTTCTTAATGGTTTATATATGGAATATATCATTGGAAAGAATTTAGCTTATAATGTTTGAAACTCAGAATTATACATAGGTTTATAATGTTTAATTTCTTTTTTTTTTTTTTTAAATG